AAACCAGGATGGTGTAAAAGACAAGTTCTATGAAGAATTGCATGCAGCTATAGCAACAGTACCAAAAGCAGACAAGCTCATTATTCTTGGTGACTTTAATGCTAGAGCTGGCTCTGATAACATCTCCTGCAATGGTACTATAGGAAAGTACAGAGTAGGTCGCTGTAACAGCAATGGACCTCTCCCCTCCAGGCGTGCATTGAGCATGATCTCCTTACCACAGACAGAGTTTTTTGACTACCTGCTCGAAATAGGACTTCCTGGATGCACCCACGATCTAAACACTGGCACCTCATTGATTATGTGATAGTTAAAAAAAGGAACAGGGAGGATGTTTGAGTGACCAAACCCATTTGTGATGCCGAATGCTGGACAGATCATCACCTAATTGTGTCCAAACTCAAGATTCGTATCCAGCCAACCAGGCGTCTTCAAGGAAATGAATTAGTCAAAAGCATTCCCAAGCTTAAGGGGGAACCATCCGGCAGCCTTTTGTTGACACCCTAGAAGAGCGACTCAAATCCATTCCACTGGATGACCAGAATGTGGAGACTAGCTGGACAGTGTTAAAGGAGAATATTTAAAACACTGCCACATAAATTCTGGCTCCTGCCATCAAAAAGCAAAATGACTAGTTTGATGAGAACTTTGAGGAAATACAGAAGCTGCTGGCAGAGAAACATACCCTCCATAAAGCCTGTCTAAGCAATCCAAAGTCCACATCTAAGACTGATGCCTCCCATAATGCACAGAGAATGGTGCAGCGTAAGCTACGTCAGATCATGGACTCTGGTTGAGTAAAAAAACAGATGAGATACAAAACTTTGCAGACATGACCAGAAAAATTTCTATTGTGCTCTTATAGCAGTCTAAGGACCATCAGCATCATCAGGACCTCTTCCTCTCATCAAAGCAGATCAGAAAATACTGGTCACGGATTTAAAAAAAAAGACAAATTTTTCAAAGATAGGCTGAATATTTTAACAATATTTTAAATCAGTCCTCATCTGTTAACAATGACGCTATCAACGGTATTCCACTGGTCTCTATAAACATTTCAATTGAACAAGTACCAATCCTAGAGGAAACTGAAAAGGCGATTCGCCAAATTTCTAGTGGTAAAGATCTTGGTTCAAACTCAAAGAGGTTTACAAAGCTAACGGAAAAACCTGATAGAGAAACTTCTTGTGATATTTCAGAAAATTTGGAAGTCTGAAATCGTTCCACAAGAACTCAAGGATGCATCAATAATACACCTCTAATTCGGAAAGAAAATAGCCAGGATTGCAACAATCACCGTGGCATATCCCTGCTATGTCGCAGGAAAAATTTTTGCAAGAATACTTGTAAATCATCTTACGACACACCTTGGTGGAGCTCTGCTACTTGAAAGCCAATGCGGATTCCAGAAAAAGCGCGAAACAAAGATATAGTGTTTGCCGAACGGCAGTTACAAGAAAAATGTCAGGAACAGCATTGTGATTTGTTCACAGCTTTCACTGACCTCACAGAAGCGTTAAACTCAGTCAGCATAGAGGGTCTATGGAAGATCATGGCAAAATATGGCTGCCCAAAGAAATTAATCATGATTATTCAGCAACTGCATGGTGGACTGCAGGCATGAATCCAGGAGAATAGAGAATTTTCTAAACCTTTCCATGTTATAAATGGTGTCAAACAAAGATGTGTACTCTCACCAACCCTATTCAGTATCATGTTCTCAGCTGTACCATTTGATGCTTTTGGAGATCGAGATAAAGGAATGGATATTTGCTATCGCATCAATGGAAAACTTGTCAATCTTAGGCGGCTCAAAGCAAAAATCAAAGTTAAACTATGTATTATTTATTAGGGATCTTTTGTTTGCTGACGACTGTGCTCTTGATGCCGGTTTAGAAGCAGTTTGCAATATAACACGGACAGATCCTCTGAGGCTTGTACCAATTTTGGGCTTCCATTAATACTGAGAAAACCAAAATTAGCTACCAACTAGCACCAGGCAAAGTTTACAATGAACCAACCATTCTGGTAAATGGAAAGAAATTAAAGGTTGTGGATAGATTCACATACCTCGGTAGTACATTGTCTCAGAATATCAGCGTTAAGGATGAGGTGAGCACCAGGATCTCTAAAGCCAGCTGCACATTTGGCAGGTTATAAAAAAAATGTCTGGCATGGTAGTGGCATCAGTCTGCAAACCAGACTGAAGGTATACAGAGCTGCAGTGCTTCCAGTGCTACTGTATCTTGTGAAACTTGGACGTCAGGCACACACAAAAAATTTACAACTTCCATACAGTCTGTCTCGGAAAGATACTGAACATGAAGTGGCAAGCCATGGTCCCAGACACCGTCGTACTGGACAGGACTGGTATCCCCAGTATCAATACCATCCTGATGCAGTCACAGATTTGATGGGCTGGCCATATTGTTTGAATGCCTGACCATCTGCTCCCAAAAATAATAATCTATGGTGAGATACATGAAGGTATCTTATGGTGGCCAGAAAAAAAAATGCTTCAAGGACACACTGAAAGCATCATTGAAAGCCTTCAGCATAATCCTGGCACCTGGGAGGCTGCAGCACAAGACCGGACTTTATGGCACACATATATCCAAAAGGTGCAATGATCTGCCAGGCATCTAGAACAAGGGCAGCTGAACGGTGAAGACAGGCCAGCAAGACCTGCTATACAGGCCTTGTATCTACAGATACTGTGCCCTGCCCTCATTGTCCTAGACTCTTCCTTCTTCCTGGCATGCACTGGATTTATAAATCACCTCCAGACTCGCAAACATGCTGTCTCTGAAAGGTCATCAATTACACAAGGAGGAACAGGGTCACAAATACAAGCATAAGAGAAAAAGCTGGAACAAGACTGCCTGAATAACATTAAAAGGCAGAGACTTGCAAACATGCTGTCTCTGAAAGGTCATCAATAACAAAAGGAGGAACAGGGTCACAAATACAAGCATAAGAGAAAACGTTGGAACAAGACTGTGCCTAAATAACATTAAAAGGCAGAGACTCGCAAACATGCTGTCTCTGAAAGGTCATCAATTACACAAGGAGGAACAGGGTCACAAATACAAGCATAAGAGAAAAAGCTGGAACAAGACTGTGCCTGAATAACATTACAAGGCAGAGACAGAAGCGGTGTGGCTATCTAGAGATAAGCCCAAGACAAATGTAGAAAACCATAACATTTTACTACAACCTGGTAACAGCACAGCACACAAAGAAGATGTCCCTTTGCACCAAGACACAGAAAGAATGTGACTGAAGTGATTGGAAAATAAATGAAGATCTTTCAAAGCTTAATTCTGAGCCTTTTTCATGATGCCGCAGTCATACAAATTTCAGAAACAAATCACGTCATCTTTTGCACTTAAGTACACATAACATTTGCATAAAATGTTCTGTTTTTTATTTAATAACAATGGAATATTGAATAGTAAAGTATCATTTACACCACAGTAACATATATATTTATGTAAAATTGATACAAATTATGCATCTTTATAAATGTATTTTTCCCACAATCACATTAATCCACTTCTATATCACAGACATGAAGAACTAGGCATTCAACAGTCAAGCTGTTTCTGGTATGCAATAAAAGCAGATAACTTCATTATATACAACAAATTATCAAAGAAAAATTTTAAGACAACATAATTTTTTTTTATTCAAAGTTAAAAACCAACTCACATCAGAACATGTATTATATCCTTCGTTTGTAAAACCTATTCGAGGTCAAGAAACCTAAACAAATATCACAGGAAGCAATTAAAAGCATCCGCATAGACAGCATGAATTCCTTACTTTTTTGCAAAGATTAAGAGGCTTCTAAACCATCTTCTGAAGCATAGATTTCAAACAGAAAAAACTCTTAAGAAAAAAGTATAAATCAACTTTGACACAACATGCAACTATAAAACAGATATATGATGTGTGAAGCTCTTACACCAGAACTAGGAATCGACTGTCCATTCTTATCCAACACAGTTCCAGAAGACACAGGAGTTATCTTCAAAAAGAACAGAGTCAGAAGAAAGAGCTTTTTTTACTTTATAGACTTAGAAAATCAGGACCCCTTCAACATTTGGATACAAATATTTACAGACAGTTTCTGTACAGAGGCCACAAAGAGGAGTGAATCTTCATTACAGACACTAACTGCAAGACAGAGACATACTCAATATTGGCATTTGAAGCTTGAAACAACTTCACATATGTAAAATCTTACATCAGAATGCTGTTCACAAGAACAGAACTAGTCAAGCAGTGAAATTCAGCCTACTGTGGATCCCAAGTAATGATACCTGCATATGCTTTTCAGTGTGGCACATGATAATGATTATATTTCTGAGGAGAGGGGAGTGCTGGGCGATTTTTTTTCACTAAAAAGGAGACAGGGGGCCAAATAAATTTGGGAAAAGCTTATCTAAAGTACATTGCTATTGCTGGAGTACTGAAAATGTTTAAAACAAAAATATGACACAATTATTTACGGATCAAATCTACAGCTCTTTGTATAATTGTAAATTCAGCATAGTCTGCTCTTTGTCATTTACAATTTAACTGAATTGTTCATATGAGTAACATTAGATCTCTCGTTTGTCATTCTCACCTGAGAAGTGTAGGTATCTGATCTTACAATCCAAGAGATATAGGGAACATGTATAATACTAGAAACAATTTTCTGTGAAAACATTATCAGTCCTATGCCTAAGCTACAGGCAGACACTTAGACCTTCTCGAATATTCTAATAAAAAACAGTAACTTTATTTCACTACTATTCTATTACAACACTGTGATAAGATAATGAAAGTTACTTCACAAGCTCTAATTACTGCAGCATTTATGTATATTAAATATATAGTGAATTCCAACAGAAACATTGTGGAAACATGGTTTATGTCCTCTTTTCTCACAACAGCAAACAAGAAAATATATCTTTGTAGCATGAGCATTGCATTCTTCTCCAAACATCCACTCATTTTAAGATGATGTAGTCACTCCATAAGCTGTTAGAAGAAAAAATATCAATAATTAAACATCTTTAAAATTATCACGAAGTCAAATATGTGCTTCAGTTGTTTCAGTGGTGTGAAATGGTAGAATAAAAGGTAAAGGTAAAAGGTAAATTCGGGAGATGTGAACCAGCGTCATTGCACACGGTTATTAACCGTAATTGCTCTGCCCCAGTATGGACAGCTGATAAGAAACTGTCTGCCTGTGTCACCATACGCATGTAACTCTGTAGCTACAGCAACGTTCCTCCATTTACCACAGAGTGGCTGCAGAGAGTCGCAGCTGGATTCGAAAGCGAGCCTACTATCGACTGCGCTAATGCGGAAATGGTAGAACAATCTCCCTTAATCATAAAAGACAATCCCATAGCAGTTATTGTCACTGCAGTGTGAACTGTTACGCCTTCACATATTCTAGACCACGACATACAAAGTCAGATGGCCATTTCCCTTCCTTTTCAGATTTCTTTTCTGTTGTCCCTAAAAATTCCTAAAATTGTCAGTTCCATTTTTAAGAGACTTCTTTGAACCCATGTCTGTGCTGATTTGAAAACATTCATCCTACTGCTGCAAGTGACTGAGCCAGAAGGCCAAAAGTCTCTTGAGAATCGCTTTATTTGTTTATACTCTGGGGACTTTGACGCCCTCCGGAATGAATTGCCAACACAGTTTCATTTAAACTTCCAGGGGATTGAACTGCCCTCACAGTTTCAACTTCTACACCCTAGTTATGGCCCCTGATACTCCACAGGGGGGTATTTATTCCCCCAGCTGACACGTGCGGTCAGTCTTCTGAGTAACAACCGACCTGGCCGCATCGTGATACCAGCTAAGTGATTTTTTTTTTATCTATGTAGTATTGTTTATTTTGTGTGTGCTGATGAAGGCTCAATAGCCGCAACGTTCACGTTTTGTTTGTATTTGTTATATTGTGAAGCTTGCAAATATACTTTTCGTTCGGGTTTATATCTTTTCTTGACACTAACTATTCTGACTAATTAACTACTCACCCCCTTCTGGGATGTAATTTTTCGTTATTTTAAAGCCCCACCCTGGCTCTTGCCAGGGGCCGCAATATAGCCTGGCCATAAATATGGTCTAATGGCTGAATGCGGTTTCTGGGACTTCTCCACGGGTAATCCCTATACAAAAGAATTCTTTTTCTTCATTTAACTATAGTTACACTTTTAATTCTGCAGATGGCCAGTCTCTGCACACAAGGCCCAATATGATTAGAACTCTACAAAATATGATCGTTGCTAGGACATTTTGACCCACTTCTCTCCTCGCACAATTTTACCAAGCCTGCACAAATGATTCATGACAATTCCCACCCAGATGATGTAATTATCTATTCATATGGTTCTGTGTGGAGAGGCAGATTAAGTGCATGAAGGTAGGTTCATAGCAAAAGCAAATGCATGTCGCTTAGTGAAACAAAGCTGGGCATTTACCCCAACATCTAGTTTTTGATAATGGAAGTAGAGGCAGTCGTAGTTTTAACTGACTAAAAAAAATTGTGTCGAAAGGTACAGAGCAGCATACATCGCTTTAGAGATTCCAGGTAGTTAGATTTCTTTGTAAATTTTCTCCAGGTAATGCCGGTGTGTTAGGAAATAAACAGGCCGAAAAAATGCTTGGTTCTGCACCACTTGGTGGTGAAATGATGCATGACAAGCTACAAGTTGGAAAAGTTCTTTGGCAGCTAGTGAACATTGTGGGGGCACAAAAGAGATCAAAACAGTCTGAGGAGAATGGTGCTGCGAGCGGATCTGGCCGATGCTCAACACTTAAAGGAATACACAATCAAATATTTACAATCAGATTGTTACTGGTACTATCAAAATCGGAACTCTGTGCTTGCTGCTAAAGATGCGGACAAAGCGCTTATGGAAATATCCCAAGTGATATGATGTTAAATCCTAATTCAACATTTAACTCTAGTTAGAATAGAGTTAGTCTGGTTCTTGATGGAGGTGTCGTTCCATTTGTACAAAGTGTACAGTTGTGAGTGATTAGTGATTAGAGAGGATTATCATCACGGCACTCCGGACAGATCCATAGATGCTCCGATCTCCTCCTCAAAAGCTCCACAAGTGTAAAACCACTGATGACACTTGTTCTGTGTTGGTTGATGAAACGTCTTGTTCCCTTAGTGAAATGTTCATTTCTTTGATCTCCAGGCTGCACCCCCATGTCCATCAGTCTAGACAGGGATATGGAGTCATGTCCTTTGGCATGCTCCTCGAGGAGTTGTGAGTCTCTATGGTAAAGTAGTAGATTTTTAAACACAATTCTATGCTTAGAAAGAGAACAAGAAAGCTCTGCAACTCCCTGAGATATGAAACTTTGGCACTGTCTGGAAGAAAATCACTCAACTAACCACACTCAGATACATGCAAGCTCATTTCCAGCCTTGAATGAACTGAAACCAAAAACCTCAGACTGAACACATTCCATACCAAGCAATTCACTGAGCTTTTGTTGGTTTCCACTTGACATGACCAACTTTTCTAAACATTAACTCTCATTTGTTGATTTCCACTGACATGACCAACTTTGCTAAACATAAACTCTCATTTGCTGATTTCCCCTGACATGACCAACTTTGTCAAACACATAATCTGATTACTTTCAGTAAAAACATCGTTTTAAAAAAAATAAGCTGAAGTAGCATCTGCTTGGAACTGAAAGAGTTGATAGTTATAAATAAGTCTTTCAGTGAATTCATCAGCCAACCAATGATCACATACCAATCAGTATATGCCTCACTGCTGCTGTGTTTGCTGATAATAATCTTAACCTCTGTTGGGGGATTCAACCCATGCTTTTCTGCTCTCTCCCATCGCTCCAAGCGTGTGATTCCTGCAAAATACAACAGTTAGCTCACTATTATGATGGAGAAAAATACAATTAAAGCCAGTTTTTAAAAAAAAATCATTTGTACACCAACCCCACATTTGTTAGTTGTTTATGGTTTGACTTGATCATTTCAGAGGATTTGATCATTTACACAGACAGTTCAGTGACAAGAGGCAAAAGAAGTGCTTGGCACTTCTTAGCAAAAGTTAATGGTCGACATTTGGTGCAGGAGAGCCTAGCATATGATACCACAACATCCAGCTTAAGAATGGAGGTGGAGGCGGTCACTGCAGCTTTCCACTGGTTACAGAACATGACACACACACACACATCGTGATTGTAACAGACTCAGAAAGCATGCTGAGGAAGATCAAGACAGGCATGCTTCGTGCAAAGTGGCATGCTTCGCTGCGGAGGAAACGGGTGAGGAGTATTGTCTGGATTTTTTCACCCGGGAACGCCGGTGAGTTGGGAAATGAACAGTAGGACAGACTGGCTGGCTCTGCACAACTTGGTGGAATACTGATACACAATAAGGCAGACGTGGTTAATGCCTTGTAGGAGAGTGTGTACAGTTTAGAGGAGCAGATGGATCACCAGTCTGGTGAGATTAATGCAGCTGGGAGTGACGAGAAGTTCTGGCAGATCCTTGAGGCTCAGAGGAAAGGCAAGACGGACGTTTAATCAGAATGCTACTGGCACCATTAATATCGGAACTCTTTGCTGGTTGATGAAGATGGGGACGGAGCTCTTATGGGAATGCCCCGAGTGTTGTGATGTCGGTTCTTGAATCAAATGAAATCAATGACTAGATTAAATTTACAGTCAGTATTTAGTCATTGTTTTGAATAGCTGACACTCCACACATTGTCAAAAATCATGCTAAATTACTGTAGCTGAATCTAACCAGGTATCTCAGAGTTATCAAGCTTCTAAATGTGGGTTCTGGACCCCATTTGGGGGTGGGGTGGAATAGACCAACTGCACTTCATCAAGAATGTCATAAAAGGCAACTAATTAAGGATTTGCTGAAATCTGGGTGTTGGGCAGAAAGATGCAGATATTTCAACCTATCTGTAAAACACAATATGCCAACCACTTTTATTGGTGAATGCAGGAGAAGAAGAGTTGTGAACCATGTTTGTAATTCCTAAGCCACAGACACCAACCAGTACCAAGCTTAAAATATTAAACTTGTCTACTGCATGGACTAGAAACATTAAGAAAACTAAGAAAAGCACTAATAATTAACATTAATGAACAGGAACTTTTTTACCAATAATGTGAACAGAAGAAGTGAAATGGATGCATTTGTACATATTAAGTTACCAAGGTTATGTTAAACGATATAAAGTTGATCCAATCATACTTATGTAAAGTCAAATATTAGGAGGATCTGCACCTCATCATCATCACATGTCTTGCTAACTGGCACTGGCAACGATGCTTCTCCACAACTTGCAGTCTCCATCAGCCTGTATCAATCATGTGTTGACATTCTTCCATGACATGATAAACAACTAATAAACATCTCTTCTTATTGTTTCTCATTTATCTCTCTTTCCATGAATTGTTCGAGTCATCAAATCATGCTCCAGCTGTTCCCTTTTTTATACTGTGGCCAAAGAATACTGATCTTCTTCTTCATGTTCACCAGCTGTAAACTCCAGCGGAAAGTTCTGGTTGTTCATCCACTTCTGGACTGCAGTCCTGTTCCAGAACCTGAGTGTTGCATGTGTACCAGTTTTACAGATCAGACTTATTTGTATGCAGACAGTTGGTTCCTTGCCTCTCAGGCAAATGCACTCCGACTTCGAAAGAAGCTCCCAATTAGTCCACTCTTACAACATGCTTTTGGGTAGACAGTGGGTCTATTCTTTTTGTTCCTATAATAGGGCCCCGTAACCCACACGGGGAAATACTGATCTATATTTACCAATGTTAAATCAAATGATATAAAGTTGATCTGCATTTACCAATCTAAAAAAAATAAAAATGTAAATGTTCGTTTGTTATTAATAGCTAATCTCCCAAAATTTAGTCTGGGTGAACACGGATGCCTAAGTCAAGTTATAAAAAAAAAACCATCAGATGATAAATTTCAAATCCTTCGGAGAGGGACAGAGGAGTATTCAGTGGACTGGGAAGGGGGGAGGACGGGGGGTGGGGGTCATGACAGTCACTGTTAACTGCGAGAGCTTAAAACATGATTTTAAAGTTTTAATTTTTTAATTATTTATATTGTAATAAGGCTTTCTCTGCTATTCTCATTTTTTTAAAATTTGTTGGTCCTTTAGAAATACAGTAGTAAGCTTTACTTTCAGCGGTTGAAAAAAAAAAAAAGCCTTAGCATGTAATAAACAAATAACTATTTTTAACAATCTTAATAATACAATTTAAACCACCACTAATATAAAGACACGATTATATGTTGCGTGTCCTAGAGTCGGCAAACCAGACTTATCTCAAAATCTGTGCAGACAATTATTGTGATATTAACCATATTAGAAGGTGGCCCAAGTGACAAGAAGGGACAAAGTCCGCAATCAGACAATACGTCAAGATCTTGATACCCAGCCCTTACTAACTCGAGTAGATCAGTCACAGTTACGATGGTTTGGACATGTATGCAGAATGGGAGAAAATCGGCCACCATGGCAAGCATGGGAGGCTAAGAACCAGGGAACCAGACCTCCGGGACGACCCAGGGTGCGCTGGGAAGACAACATCCGACAGTCCCTAACTGACAGAGGACTGGAATGGAACAAAGCCAGAAAGAAAACTGCTGATAGAGACGTCTGGCGATCTCTCTGGCAAACCTCTACACCCGAAGGTAGAAGAGGAGCGACTAAGTAAGTAAGTAAGGTAACCATATTAGACATGTGCGCTTTCTATTTTCATTCTTTTCCATTTCGCCAGACTGTGCCGCAGCAACGCGTGGCCGGGTACAGCTAGTGTAAAATAAAATTATATAAAGTTGATCTGCACTTACCGATGCACGGTCCAAACTCTAGGGTCAGATCAAACTTTTTCAGAATGCCAAGTTCTTTTTCAGCTTCTGAGACTAAAGGGGTTTTTGCAGTAGTGGGCTTTGCTGCAGATTTTGATAATCATTGCCTTAGTAATTTCATAACAAAATAGGTACATACATATTATGAAATGGAATAACTAGAAAGTCCTTACTCTGGAAACCACAGTATCCCATATTTAAGTAGGGAGGATCAAGCAAGAAGGTCAAGCATGATATTCTTCTTCTGCGTTAACCAGGCATGTCAAAAGTGTGACCTGCAGGTCACATGCAGCCCTTTGAACTCAAATGCAGCCTGTGACATATCCAATTTTCTAAAAATTTAATTTTTTCTTCTTCTTCGCGTTCACCAGCTGAACACTCTGGCAGAAAGTTCTGGTTGCTCGTCCACTACTGAACTGCAGTCCTGCTCCAGAACCTGAGTGCTGCATCAGTTTTACAGATCTCATTCTCTTGAATACAGACTGTTGGTTCCTTGCCTCTCCAGCAGATGCACTCCGACTTCAAAGGAAGCTCCCCAATTAGTCGACTCTTACGACATGCTTTTGGGGAGGCAGTGGGTCTATTCTTGTTTTCCCCACAATGGGGCCCCGGAACCCACGGGGGGGGGGGGGGGGGGGGGGAATTTACTTAATTATCATCATCAACTTTTATCTTTCCTGTTAAGTATTATGAAAAGGAACAGTTTGCAGTCCCGCACTGAATGAATAGGACTGACTTATTGTCATTCTGTGCGGATATTGTTGTTGTTGTTGGCACCTTTCTGTCGTTCCAGATAACAGTGTTATACTGTGCTGTGAGGGGAACATGGAACACTGGTGAGGTGTCTAGTAAGAACCACCTGTGATAACTCTTTGAGTCCCAGGGGGTTTAGCGTCATAAGCCCAAGGGGTAGTCAAGAGAGATGTAAAATCGGCGCATCTTGCGTTCATTGGGCTTCTAGGTAGGAATCTATGAACGTATGATGCGTTCCTTGGGATAGAAAGAGTTAAATACAGTTTTCCACAATTATAGCATGGGGTTTCAGGACCGTTGTTGCCATCATATGTGTTATTATTCTGAGATCTGTACGGTCATGTTAATATCTCCCAACAATTTCATCATGTCATCATGTTTCATTTATCAAAAGCTTTTGTGTAATCTATGAAGCACAAAATATATGTCTTTCTGTTTCTCCATTGATCTCTCTACTAATGTTCACAATGTGTATATTGCATTATGTGTGCCTTTCCTTTCTATAAAACAATACTGCTCTTCAATAATTTATATTTTTATTTTCTTTATTGTTCTTCTCATTATAGTTCTTAGTAACAGTTTGGTGACATGGTTTATGAGGTTCACTATATGAAATTCATCATATTCAACTGCCTCGTGTCTTTTAGGTAGTGCTACAAATACAAACCAACATACCGTTATGTATATTCCTTTGTTGTAAATAACATTCAAAAGTTTAGTTAATAAGTGAACTCCAAATTCTTTAAGTACTTCTATTCCGTCTATTGTAACTCCATCTGGTCCGGCTGTGTTTCCTTTCTTATTATGTTTGATAGCATCAGAGACTTCTTCTTTTAGTACAGGTGGCCCTTCTAGGTTACTTTCTGCTGTTAAATCTGTTCTTTCTCCAAAGGGAGAAAGCATTTGGGAAGAAGCATGGTCAGAGCAGATATCATCAAAGCTGTACAGACTGGGCCAGTGGATAATGACGAATCTCTTACAATAACATGATTGCATGTCATGGGAGTAAAGCATGGTGAAGCACGCCTATGAAGCCTTCGAGACCCAGAGTGGCTGCTGCATCGGAGGACTGAGCAAGCTTGTGAATGCCCAATGTGGAGTGACATTGATTTCACAATCAATGTCACTCCACATTACAAGTACAGTTTGTATTTTGGCTGCAGAATAGGTGATCAAGATAAAAGCTGGGTGCCACACATCGGCTGAAACACATGTTCATCTTAAACTGTGATTGACAGGTAACAGGGCAAGCTATGCTTTTTGCAGTCCCAATGATTTAGAAAGAGCCCACTGATCAACAACTTTTGCATGCTCACTCCAACTGGAAGAGGCATATCAAAGGGGAAAAAATGGACTATGAAATATCAAAACATCCCTTCTGCAATGTGTCTGGTACCACACTGCAATGACCTACCAGTTCCCAAAGAGCCAGAATCATTTTAAGCTGCTTCCACTGATACAGAAAAGAGGGCACCAGTGGTCCAGTGACCCAGATTTTATGCAGACTTCATCCACTAAACCACACTTGACAACCAAAAGGGAACTGAATGATCTTGTAAGAGATCTGAATTTACTAAAGCACAAGGCAGAGGAACCCAAAAGGGTTCCAAAATGCAGCAGTGAAATCCCCTGGCAGAAGATGTCAGAATTTATGTGTACAGGTGTCACTTTCTCTACTACTCAATAATAATATCATTTCTGATTCCTCTGTTTACATCATGATTAAACAATCTGCCCTGATATCTCTCAATAAAATCCAATACTGATAGTGCTCACAAGTGGTGGCTGGTGGTTTAAGTATCTTCTTCTTCTTCTTCTTCTTCTTCTTCTTCTTCTTCTTCTTCTTCTTCTTCTTCTTCAGGCATTCCGAGCCTTGAGGTTCTTTGCTGTAGATATCACCCGCCTCCATTCATCTCTCTGTTTGGTCTTCTTAAACATTCAGAGCCCTTGAGGTTCATTGCTGCAGATATCACCCGCCTCCATTCATCTCTCTGGTTGGTCTTCATAAACATTCCGAGCCCTTGAGGTTCATGGCTGTAGCTATCACCTGCCTCCATTCATCTCTCTGGTTGGTCTTCTTAAACATTCCGAGCCCTTGAGGTTCATTGCTGTAGATATCACCCGCCTCCATTCATCTCTCTGGTTGGCCTTCTCTTTCCAGTTGGTGACACCAAGTGTTTGCAGGTCTGATTGGATATTATCTCTTCATCATCTTCTTGGTCTGCCTCGTGGTCTACAGCCATTTATCTCCCTCATGTATACAGTTTTTACTTCTCTGTCATCTGACATTCTTTCAATATGCCCCAACCATTTTAGGCTATTTGCTTTCATGATGCCAGTGATCAGTGGTGATTTAAACATATTATGAATTTTGTTGTTGCTTCTCACTCTCCATTCACGCTGTTTGCATCTTTAATGGGTCCAAAGATTTGTCTTAAGCCTCTGTTTTCGAAAAACCTGAAATAATGCTTCATCTCTTTGAGCTGTGCTCCAAGTTTCAGAGTCATATAAAATGACTGGTTTTATCAACGTTTTATATATTTTGATCTTGGTGTTGCGAGACCAACACTTTGACTTAAGCAGATCTTGAAGGGCATTCATTCATTCATTCAGTAGCATGTCCCTCGCGGAACCTCGCTGCCATAACAACCCTCCGGAAAACCTTCCTATCCTGAGCAAGATGTCCTGCGTCTGATTCACCCATCTGGAGATCATCTGCCACATTTATGATTGTCATGGATTCTTGGCAAAATTTGCAGAAGGTAGTTTGCCGTTGCTTTCCTCCTGAGCAGTGACTATACTAGTCGGTGGCCATAGCCATTGTCTCTACTGATGAGATCATCTGCCTATCGCCGCAGAGTGCAGACCATAACCAACAATACCTGTCGGCTGCTCTTTGAAGGGCATAGTGTACTTTATTTCCAGATTGTATTCTAGAGAGTATTTCTTCTCTCAGCATGTTGGAGCATTTGTTTAACTCTTTGAGTCCCAAGGAACGCATCATACGTTTTTAGGTTCCTACCTAGAAGCCAAAAGAATGCATGATGCGCCGATTATATGACTCTCTTTACTACCCCCTGGGCCTGTGATGCTAAATGCCCTGGGACTCAAAGAGTTGAGTATCTATTGAGTGCAAATGGGATGCTGCAGTTCCACAGTACCTATCATGAGCCACCACTGATACCCCATGGCTTTATCTCATCATGTCAGTATCTCAACTTGTTATATTGAGTGTTTTCGCTCTCTTACTGAATAAAATTCTGCTTTTGTATTTTGCCTGTATGCAAACCTTTCAAGTCCTAACAATCAAATAAACACAGTAAGTGGTAATAGGTAACAATACAATGTGCAATGCAAGTTAAAGTATAGACGTTTACTACACGAGTCAAGAGGCAGAAAGTGTGTCCCCTAAAAGTTGAGATTTGTTAGGGGAAGACGTTGCTCTTGGAAACAACAGTACCTACCTTTTGAATAGGGTCGGGGGTTCCTTTTCCTTTGACGAAAGGCACGATTAACACGCTTGTTCTTACTCTTACTTTTAGTTTTGGAAGCCATGAGTAAGCCGTTAGTTACTGACTGGTGTTTTCAATCTTGTTTACATGTGGGCACTGAAGGTAACTGAATAATAGAAACAAAATATTTACTATTATTTGAATATAGTCTATTTTTACTATAAACATATAGTCAAGTGGTGTTCGGAACCTCTGTTTAGCTTCTTCGTTGTTAAGAGATATGTTTCTTCACACTTTTAAATTTAGAATCTTTGTCATCACTTCTCCGGCCTACTTTACAAGAGGTTCAAGTAGCAGGGTTCCCTATGTCAAAAAAATAGCAGACTATGCTTAAAAGTTTCAATAGGAACTGACGCCAATAACTACATTGCTATAGCATTTAATATTGGCACTATATGTTTAAAATATATTCTCACTATTATTAACCATAACTGTGTGAAAGTTTCAAAATAATTAATCTAAAATAATGTCCTCGTTTAGTAAAGTATGAAATAAACATCTGAAGTAACCACCGATGTTGCCCATCGACGATCCTTCCCCTACAAGACTACAAGCTACAAACTTCAAGTTCACGTTTCTTGTTGTCCCGTCCAGGGCTGCCAATGGGATTTTTTTAGAAAAACCCAGCTAAGCTGAACAAAAACCCAAGCAATACATAGGCAAACAACAAAATAAAATTAAACAAAAAACCCAGATTGTTAAAAATAAAAATGTTATAGTTACTAAACGAATCCTTTACCAACTTTTATATAAGGAAATATGTTTTAAAAACCCAGATTACAAAATTCGAAAGGCGTCAAATAAAAACCCAGATCTGGGGGTAAAATCCGAGCATTGGCAGCCCAGGTTACACTCACAGTCACAAGTTCCCGTTTCTTGTTGTCCCGTCACCGGATCGACGCTCTCATTTCTCGCTGTGAACGTGAATATCGATACTATTTCTTCCAATCTGAACATCACCATCATGTGCCAAATCAATGTGTGTAAATTCGTTATCTCACACGATCGCTTAAGCGAATCCTCCCCCTTCCTTTTTTGGGCCCCATAATTTTGTAGGAAGACTTAGTGACCCCCCCCCCCCCTCCCCCCCACAACCATTTATATACATTTAAGGTACTTTCATTTTAGTTCGCCCCATCTCAGGGATTCCGACAGTTCCAAGGAAAGTCCAATAATATGGGGCGGGGGAAGGGGGTATGGTTAGGGTTAGAGCTGGTCGTTGCTCATTTCCCACTGTAAAACGCATTTGATAATATACTTTCTCCGGGAATTCTATGACTCCTCTAGACAGGGTAAACAATACAGAAACAAAACCACCTGTTGCTATCTTCTGAAGCATATTCATGGAGTCTGATACAATTATTGCCTGTGTGGCGGTTTGCTCAGATACCCCTGCTAATGCTTTAGAAGTAGCGGCTATTTCCATGGTCATGCTTGACGTGGTTGTCTGGTAAGCGCCGCTGTCCTCCTGTATTATGTTTCCCATTCTTTGCGCTGTGTATGCCCATGCTGACCTTGATCCGCGCTTCACGGATCCATCTGTGCAGATGATGATATCTTCTGCGTCTGAATGCTGATCTATCAGTTTCCTTACTTCTGTGTCTACGGTCGCAGGAATTTGATTCCTGCAGTACCTTCCGACTGTGATGACAACCTTAAAAACCATGCATGTCTACTGGTGTATTCGTCCATTCTTGTCCGTGTATCAATAAAGTCTACTGTGTTCGTAAATTGTTGCTGTGATTGTTATTCGACATTTGCTTCGTTAATATACATTTCTGTAACCTATGGTGCCATTTCAATGGGTTGAAATGAATTCTGTCCGTATTCCATTGTCGTGGATTTCAAGCTGTACGGTAGACATGGCCAATGAGACACCTTTTGTTGGGGGTGCCTAGTTGACCATGTATCTTAGTGCACTTGTATTCATGGCGAGGCGCAAACGCCGTCTGGAGGTGATAGGTTCAATTCCCGGCACGGTAACTATAGCTTTTCGATTTTTATGTTGTATAGTGTGTTCTTCTATCTTTCTACTTCTTTCTATGAGTGCCGTTCACAATACTTTCTGTTACTTGATTAATTCATGAAAGATACAAGGCTTTACTGAGGAAAACGTACCTTAAAGTCGCAAAGGACAGGGAACGCCTTCTGCATGAGGCCTTAGAAGATAATAAGAAACATTGGCTGAAAAGATGTAGCTCTTAAATAGCACAAGGAGATGTCTCAATAAAAAATGTTTGTATTGTTGACAAAACAGCGTTTGGTGAGGAATGGATCACAGTGTCGCGCAGCAAAACAGCGTTTGGTGAGGAATGATCACAGTGTCACGCAGCAAAACAGCGTTTGGTGAGGAATGGGTCACAGTGTCGCGCAGAAAAACAGCGTTTGGTGAGGAATGGGTCACAGTGTCGCGCAGCAAAACAGCGTTTGGTGAGGAATGGGTCACAGTGTCGCGCAGCAAAACAGCGTTTGGTGAGGAATGGATCACAGTGTCGCGCAGCAAAACAGCCTTATATGGAATCTTCTTCTTCGTGTTCACCGGCTGTAAACTCCGGCGGAACTTACTGGTTGTTCGTCCACTTCTGGACTGCAGTCCTGTTCCAGAACCTGAATGTTGCGTATACATCCGTCTGACAGATCTGTATGGTTCCTTACCTCTCAGGCAAATGCAATCCGACTTTGAAGGAAGCTCCCAATTAGTCGACTCTTACGACATGCTTTTGGGTAGGCAGTGGGTCTATTCTTGTTTTTTTTCCATAGTAGGGCCCCGGAACCCACAGGGAGGCTTATATGGAATGATAGTTACCTTGGAACAAGGATACTGAGAATGGCTAACTGATGAAACAAGAGCCAAAGGTGCAAGAGCTAAAAATGAAAATTCACGCCCCTGCACAGATGGGTTTGTGATGAGAGGTAAGAAGAGTAGGTGGGGTTTTATTGCAAAGCTTTGTGGACACTGTTAGAAAACAGAGAGCCTCGCGTGTTCCATCGCCCCCCCCCCCCCCCCTTTTCCTTTCCGCTTTTTAATTTTATTTAGGGAGTTCCAATACTTCGTATTGAATGTATAGGGTGTTCACCGGACATTCCTTTAGTATAGGGGTGGGGGAGAGGGGGGAGAGGGGAGGGGAGGGTTTATGTCAGTCAGTGTTCATTTAACTCTATCCCCCGTGTGGGTTCCGGGGCCCCATTGTGGGGAAAACAAGAATACACTCACTGCCTACCCAAAAGCATGTCGTAAGAGTCGACTAATTGGGGAGCTTCCTTTGAAGTCGGAGTGCATCTACCTGAGATGCAAGGAACCGACAGTCTGCATTCGAGTGAATCAGATCTGTGAAACTGATGCACACGCAACACTGAGGTTCTGGAGCAGGACTGTTGTTTAGAAGTGGACGAACAACCCGAGTGTACAGCTGGTGAACGCCAAGAAGAAGATTTAACCCTAACCTTTAACCGCTCAAACTCTTATACTTTAAGGGGTGTCCTGTGCTAGTTGTTTCCATCGTTTATTGCTTTATTATTTCCAGTGTACGTAACTCATTCGTAAATTGCCATCACTGTGTCCTGTCTGGAAGCGATATTGTTACTTGAAAGAGGCGGGAGCCCGAAGACAACTTATCACAGACATCAGAAGGAAACAGTCATCATTTTTCGGCAGTGTCATGAGAAGAGGGAAAATAGAACATGTTGTGACCACTGGGAAGATCTGTGGAAGGAGGGATAGAGGAAGACAACTAGAGAAGATTCTTGACAGTCTTGTTGCATGGCATGGAGGTGTGTCGGTACACGAACTGATACATGTTGCAGGAGATCGTGAATTATGGAGAGGCATGATCGCCTACGCCAGTCGACAAGGCACCTAATGATGATGATGATTTTTACTTCGTGACTTCGCCATAAATTTCCTTGACTTGTCGGCATTGCTGCTTCTAACCCTAACCCACCAATATACGTACATGGTGACCTCTTGGTCCTCATCGGGATCCTCCCCACTGTCCTTTTTAGGACCCGTCCCAAAAAACAAAACCTATTCCCATTCCATCGCATAAGTTCTGGCCAAAAGAAACACCCGTTCAGGCCGAACTTTTCGGGGGGCTGAGTAAATTATGCAAGACAATAAAGTTCATACTAGAGACAGCATTGCAGATAAAGGTAATCGATTTCGGGCGAGCGAAAGGAGAAGAAGCAAACGAAGAAGAAGAGGGAACTAACCCTAACTCTAACCCACAGTTTCCTATAGAATTAAAAGCTGCAGGATGTCATGCCCTAACCCTGGTCCCCCTATAAAATAAGACTCTTGGGAACTACCTAGGAACTCACTACCAAATCTCGCAGCCCCCGAGATAAGAGTGACTAAGCGGGAAAGAACCGCCTCGCGTAGAACATCACAACATCCAGTATGAGAATGGAGGTGAAGGCAGTAAATACAGATTTCCATCGGCTTGAGATCAGCACAGGCCGACATTTTAAAATTGTAACGGACTCACAGAGCAAGCTTCGGAAAATTGAAAGTGACTTCTGTGGATTCTTTGACTGCCACATGGATTTTTTTTTTTTTTTTGGTCCAGAAAATTAAGAAGATGAGTGAGGTAACGGTCGGCTCTGTGGCTAAGTCGATGCGAACGCTTCGCTTCGTAATGCCGGGATGCCGGGTTCGATCCCAGCTGCGGGCAATGCGCCTTGTGTTGGTTTCGACAGTGGTATCAAGAAAGCCGACCGTCCAGCAGCAATGGCAAACTACTGGATGTAATTTGCCTAGAGAAACCACACAACAGCTAGGGGCTGTTAGGGTTGGTTCTGCAACGTCCTGTAAAGGATACGCAACTAACTGGTGAGGTAACGAGCAGGTCGATAGATTGGCTGCCGCCGCTCCAAAATGGAGCCCCAGAACCCACTCGGGGAGGCAATAGCTATTTCTGGGGAGAAGCAATTTCTGAGGAGTAGCTTTTTCTTCGTAGTCTTCACGTTCACCACTGTAAGCTCGGTGCAAAATTCTGGTTGTTCGTCCACTTCTGGACTTTGGCTTTGTCCCAGACCTGTATGCAC